CTCTCTCTCTCTCTCTCTCTCTCTCTCTCTCACTCACACGGGGTGTTCGCTCTTGTTGTGTTGCAGCTTGCAGAGGTGTGTGGAGTGTCTGAAGATGTGTTCATACCGCTCATCTCTGCAGTGCCGGTGTCAAAGAAGCAGTAAGAGCTACACTCAAACACCTGCTCGGCGAATAAACTAGTGATGCAAAGTCTGATTCTTTTCTGCGAACCTTTTCGGACAGTTCGGCTCATTGAACCGGTTCAAAACGCAGATTCATCGGTTCCTGGTTCCTCGCATTACAAGTAACGATAATTGCGTTATTACTTTCAGAATGATGCATTTCTATAGCGGAGGCGTTTCCTTCAGCCCCAGGCTTATTCAGCTCTCTTTCTGTGTGAAAGGGCCTTTACAGCTGCCAAAAACATAACCTTTGGATTTTTTGTTATTCAAAAAACAAATAAGCAAGCCCAGCCCAGGTGACAAAAAGTACCGCAAAAGTAACACAATGCATTACTTTCCATACAAAGCACAAAAGTGACTTACTTTTTTATGGAGTAATGCAATATTGTAATGTGTTATTTTTGAAAGTAATTTTCCCCAACACTGCTTATTATCACCGAGTTACACAGCGTGTGACCGGCACAGAGACCTGCAGAGAGAACCGTCCACTTCCCATTCATTTAAGCCAAGAGTATTTAGATGACCTGTCAAAACAGAGCAAACAACAGCGATGTTTGGGCGCTTGTGATGCATGAACAGCACCTGCTGCGGGGACTTTCCAAAATCCTTAACATGGCTTAATGTACCAAGATCAAAATCAGTATATACATACATTTGCAATCAAAATTATTCAACCCCCGAGAGACTGTGATGCTTTACAAATGTAAGCTTTTCTGAAGATCCAGAGTTTTTAAAATCGCATCTATAACAGTTCAGTGGCATATTAAAAGTGACAACGTCAATATATAATGAGTTATTTTTGAGCTATAGGATTTCTTTGTAATGCAGCTGTCATAATTATTCAACCCCTCGTCAGTGCTGCTGTTTCTAAGTCACTTATTTGTATGGTAGGGTAAAAAACAAACAAAAGAAGTCTTTGGAAACTCTTTAACAAGACCTAATTAGCTTGAGCTGTTACACAAACTGTACATAAACATGGCCAAGTCAAAAGAGCTCTAGGGCCACAGAGAATAAATGCTTTTATTAAATTAGACAGTAAATGTAAAAAAGCCACTTGCCCAGTTTCTCTTGCTCCGAATTAAAGGGCACAACATAATAAAACAATTTTAAAGATAATATCATCTGGCTTTTAGCGATGATTATTTATTATAATTATTTTATGATTTATATAATTATTATACCCTTAATAATAGCCAGTTTAATTTAATAATAATTATTAAGCTTTTATTTTAATAATATGATATGCAATATACCGTAACAGATATTCAGTTCTTCTTCATGAGGGATTTGTGTGTTCATATCTGGGAGTGCATGCACTCAAAACTAGAGCTGCGTTTGAGGAACTGCATGCAATTTTGTTTTGCACGTTTTTAAAATCACATTTAGGATTTCTTATGCACATGTAAAACAACCCACGCTCTCTGATGTTCCATGAAGATATTCTGTACATTTCCTACCATAAATATATCAAAGCTTAATGTTTGATTAGTAATATGCATTGCTAAGAACTTCATTTGAACAACTTTAAAGATGATTTTCTCTATATTTAGATTTTTTTGCACCCTCAGATTCCAGATTTTCAAATAGTCTAAATTTTTAAAAAACTGACCCTTATGACTGGTTTTGTGCTCCAGAGTTATATATATATATATGTATATGTGATCAACTATATAAACTAACATCATAAGTTTCACTTGCACTGATATGGCAAGATGTTTTGGTTTAGTTGCCGTCTTTCATGGATAGCTCGTATAATCTTGCTGTGTAAATGTGTTTAAATTCTTCATATTGTTCAGTCTTTTAATCTTTGGTAGTGAATCGCACCGACTCTCTCATGAGAAGTGAATCAGAGTTTCAAGGCATGTGATTGGCTGTTCGTTGCTGATGTCACACTTTCATGTGCACACGCTTCATAACTCGGGATCAAAGTCTGAATTGATTCTTTTTATTTAATTAAATTTTTTCACCAACTCTACGTTCTCAGAATCACTCAAATGTGTTAATAAATACTGATGCCTTTTTTGAATGGTCTTGGTTGAACTGGTTGAATAATTTTGATTGCAACTGTAAATATTTGTTTATAATGTATATGAATTTGATGTTTTGATACCTCCGTCGGTAGTGTAATCCCGGTATAAATAGCTGTGGTGCAGTGAAGGAAAGCCTTGATTTGTCATGTAAAAACTGTGAATAGTGGACCCGTTAGAGTACAGCATGTTCTGATGTTTGAACTCTCTTTGCTTATAGTTCTCCAAACATCGCTAAGAAGTTTCACGCCGGTCATCTGCGCTCCACTATAATTGGTAAGATGCAATGCATTCCTGTTAAACTAGTTCCCTCTGTCACCAGTAGAGAGAGTGCTTGTGAACATATGGGATGATATTAGACTCAAGTATTTGTACAAATCGCTGCACAATCATTTAATCCTGAATTCCACAGACTCAAACTGAAAGTTTTTTTTTTTTGTGGTTAGTAAGATACATGCATAACATTTATGCAGTGCATGGATAATTGTGCGTGCATCTATTAATCATTTTGAGTCTAATATCATCCCATATGAACAGGACATTCTTAGGTTAATCATTTGCTGTGTTTGTATTGAACGGATGATTTTAATAAAACAGTTGTTCGCAAAACATATTCTCGGCTTGAATAGTTAGCTCTGTTTCTTTTGTAGGAAACTTCATTGCCAACCTAAAGAAGGCTTTGGGGAAAGAGGTTATTCGAGTCAATTATTTGGGCGACTGGGGAATGCAGTTTGGTAAGTTATCCGTTGCCATTATTAACCTAGAGAAGTCAGTAAGTTGCATATGACTTGCATATACTCCTGAAAAAGGTGTGTTTGATGAAGGTTGCTGAAGCTGGCTGGTGTTTGCAGGACTGCTGGGCGCAGGCTTTGAACGCTTCGGCTCTCAGGAGAAGCTGAGGACGCAGCCGCTGGAGCACCTGTTTGAGGTCCGCTCTTGTGTTTCGTTGGCACTGGCCCAGGCCGGATGTAGTTGCATTGGGACTAGCATGCACTCAGATCTGTTTGTTTTGCCGCTGTGGGCTGCAGGTGTATGTTCAGGTGAACCGCGAGGCCGAGCGTGATGAGAGCGTGCGTTCGGCCGCTGCAGAGTTCTTCAGACGTCTGGAGCGGAGTGAAGATCAGGCCCTGGCGCTCTGGAGACAGTTTCGTGAGATCACGGTGGACGAATATAAACGCATCTATCAGGTAAAATCAGTTCTTCTTCATGAGAGATTTGTGTGTTCATATCTGGGAGTGCCAGCACTCAAAACTAGAGCTGCGTTTGAGGAACTGCATGCAATTTTGTTTTGCACGTTTTTAAAATCACATTTAGGATTTCTTATGCACATGTAAAACAACCCACGCTCTCTGATTTCACATCAACATGAGCATTTGACTGGATATTTGATATTGAACGTATTGCATGTCTTAAGTCTCTCTCAGATAATGCTGTAAACTGAGCTGGAAGCCCGGTCAAGTCACACGTTACTTTAATATTAAAGATTGAAATCAACGACAAACTCTTAAATCCAGTTTATTTTCATGTATAATATTCAACACTGTATAAACTGAACTCCTTGAAAGAGTTAAAAGGCTCTGAATGTTTCTGTCAAAATACTGAGCATTACTCACGATAAAAGAAAAAGACATGTGACCCAGAAACACATTGCTAATGATGCAATTATATTTCTAATATAATTCTGTTTAAACTCTCTGCCGTAAAAGCCTGTTATTATGACAGCGGTGTGAACATACAGTCTTAAAAAGTCTTAATTCACCCTTTCTCAAAGTAAGCCTTAAAAAGAGTCTTAGATTGACTGCATTAAATGTTGCATGCATTGCAAAAATTTGTATCTTCCTCTGTATTTTTGTCTTGTTTTTCAATATGGCAAAAATGGTATCCGTGTTCTTGGTATGATCCACGGAATCTATCAAGACCAGTCTCATGACAATAGACAAAAATCTTCAAAAGCTATTAGCATTTTTTTGAAATTTCAATTAATTTCACTGCCCTGAAACTTTGAGTACTGTCAGGCCATGGTCCCGAAGACACGTACCGAGTTTCGTAATGGTACGCCAACGCGTAAATATAGCAATTTTTAAAATAAAATAAAATATAGCATTTTATGACAAAATTAAAAATGGCCGACATGGGAAAATTGGGTATCATTCCACTCAGTATGTTGCTCTATAATCTAATATAATCTAAATTGACTTGTGATTTTTGGTCAAAGCATTCAGAAATTATAAGCAAAAATAGGCATTTTTCTTATCTCCTAACCACTAGGTGGCGCTGCAGCATGTAGCCTCAGGGCATGGTTATCATAACACACCAAGTTTGGTCTGAATACGGCAAAGCCTCATGTCTGATTTGGCAAGCTTGTCGTCGGAATTAGTTTGCGTGGATGAACCGTCTAAGACGAGTTCTTAAAAGTATGTTTTTTGAACTGTTAAAAATTGTGAAAAATCTTGACCTGTAGAATTTAAAATTTTGGAAAATAATTTTCCTTCTAGACCTCACGGTTCATAAGTTATTAGCATAAACACGAGTGAAACTTTGGACAAGTGGTGGCGCTAGAGAGTTTCAAACTGGCTGTGGTTAATGATGAGACTGTCCTCTATCAGTGTGCCAAATTTCACAACTTTCCCGCAAGCGGTTCTATGAGCTGCCATAAACTCAAGAGCAGGAGGAGGAAGAATGATAAGAAAACCTTCGGCGCTTGGCTCCTAAAAAACCAGTAGACCAATTCCGGTGTTTGCAAACAGTGAAGCTTTTTGTCTATCTGGTGGCAGAAAATGTAGCAGTCTATGGAATAAAAGAATAAAATAGGTAATTTTGAGTTTATATTTCAAAATTCTGACTTTTCAGTTCTCGCAATTCCGTGATTATACCTCACAATTCTGAAAAAAAATAAATCAGCTCGTCATTCTTTTTTCTTTTTTTTTCCTCCCCTCGGCTCAGAATCATGAGTTTATATCCCACACGTCTGGCTTTTCCCCTCAGAATGGACAAACTAGCAATTTGAGTTTACAAATCCGAACTAGGACACATAAACTTGAATTTGCGAGAAAAAAGTCAGAATTGTGAGATAAAATAGGTCAATGTTATGTAAAACATTATAGGTTTAAATAGTATTTCTTGCTGTAACTGTAGGGCTAATACAATATGTCCCTTATGAACTGCATATATGAATATTGTTTAAATCAAATTTATGCTTTAAAAGTAGGGTAATTATAGCAGGTTTCATCCATAGTCTGTCCGTTTAAACGTCTGCGTTTAGCTTCAAATGGTGTCTTTGATGACTGTATTCTATAAAAATGATTTGCATTCTGATTCTGACATCCAAAGTCATAAAAACACATTTTTTGTCTTATTCCATGGATTTTACCCGTTTCTGTCCACTTGTTCCCAGTGTTTTCTGCCAGCACAATGCACGCGCAGCTGCAAGTGACGTCTACTCCAAATTAGTCTATAGTCCAGCCCTAGTGTTACTGTACCTTTGAGACGTCAGTGTATGCTGTGATTGTGAGTGACGGAGGTTCATGCAGAGAGGCTCACAGCGTCTGACGGTGTCTGTGCTCTCTCAGCGTTTAGGAGTTCACTTTGACCATTACTCTGGAGAGGCGTTTCATCACCATCAAACCCAGAGTGTGCTGGACGTGCTGATGAGCCAAGGACTCTTAAAGACCACCGAGTACGACACCACCTCTCATTCTGACAGTAATAAAACCTGGAGACATCTGAATAGCAGAAAGCCTTTCCTGCACACCAAAAACACACAGGCCTAAATTTGAGATTTCTGTATTTGAATTGCATATAAAATTTCCATTCATTTGGGTTACACAGTTTTAACATAAACAGTCTAGTAAACCTGAAGGAATAGTTCACCCAAAAATGAAAATGTGCTCACCCTCAGTCCATCCAGCTTCCAGTATGAATGAAACAGACATTACCTCTGTTTATTACGCTCAATAATGGCCAATACATCCTATTTTGGGTAAAAATTGGAAAAATAATACTTCTCTCAAAATATATTTGAAGTAGACGTTTTTTTTGGTAATTTGTTTTAAAAATTGCGTTTTAAATCTAAAAAAACACTGATGTGCCAAGCCATCAGAACTGGACCGAAACCCGTGGTTAAAAACCGAGGTATGTATTGAACCGTGGGCTAACTGTATTGTTGCATCCCTAAGTAAGAATCGTCTGAAATCACTGCTAAACCACACGACTCTTTGACCTTCTGCATCAGCTCTGTCCTCCTTCCCTCTTTAAGACAGATAAGAGTCAGACCGTCCACTTCCAGCAGCTCTTTCACATCCTGCAAACCATGGGCACACAAACACGCGCGCGCACACACACACACACACTCTCACACACAGAGACACACAAACACGTGCACACACACGACACACGCACACACACTCTCTCACACACACACACACTCACTCACTCTCACACACACTCACAGACACACACACATACATATATATATATATATATATACACCCCCAAGCGCCCTGCTTACAGATGTTGCTGTAAAGTCAACATGAAATCAAAATGGACTCATGACTTAAAGACTTAAACTTACATTTCTGGTCATTGCAATGATTTTGGAAGTAACTGTGTTTAAAAACGCGTAAAAATAACATGTTAAAACAATGAGTGAATTTACACTTCAGTCTGTGTGCATTGAATTTATTTAATACACGAGTTTCACAATTTGAGTTGAATTACTGAAATAAATGAACTTTTCCACGACATTCTAATTTATTGAGATGCACCTGTAGACTCAAACATGCAGCTTGTCACTTCAAATTGTAATTTTTGTGTGAGCTATTCCTTCAAAGGGCATATTTGTCAGTCAGATATTTCTGCAGTCAAAAGATCATGGCATAGTTTGCTTGTGGTGACCGTGACGGTTGTTGCGCAGGAAGGGCACGGCTGTGGTGGATCTGTCTGGAGCCTCTCACACACACTCACAGACACACACACATACATATATATATATATATATATACACCCCCAAGCGCCCTGCATACAGATGTTGCTGTAAAGTCAACATGAAATCAAAATGGACTCTTAATTACATGACTTAAACTTACATTTCTGGTCATTGCAATGATTTTGGAAGTAACTGTGTTTAAAAACGCGTAAAAATAACATGTTAAAACAATGAGTGAATTTAACGCAGCACCCCGTCCAGACCTGTCAGTCATCTTACACTGATGCAGCGTCTGATGTACATGATGCAGGACGACTGACTGTGTGATGAAGTCTTTTGGAATGCAGTTATATGAGCCTACAATTCAAGATATGAGGACAAAAATGACCCTCTTATATTTATATCATATGATATAGTTTAGCAATATCACACCAGCAAGAGTGCCGCTTTTCACCAAGATCTGCACGACTGTAAATCTGATACTGATTTAATACAACAGTTCAATAAAGGAGTTAATATTGTGTACATTTGAGTCACGATATTGTCTGTTTTTCACAGCGGTGATTCACAGTTTTGATGAATCCACAGGTTTGAATGAATCAAGTGATTCAGTGACTCATTCATAATGAGAGTCACTTGCTTCGTTTCTGAATGAATCAGCTGTTTGAATGATTATTGGAGCTTTAAGCTCTCACTGCAGTTTTTATCCAAAATAAAAGCTTGATGGTTTAACCCAGTCCTTGAGACACTTATCGTTTTTATTAATATTTTGAATCTGTTTTTATTTTTATATTTTCCATTTTTATGTCAATTTTGTTGTGTGTTATAGTAAATTTCATGTCTACATATGGGTTATTAACTTTTATTTTTCAACTTAATTTTTATTCTTCTCTTTTTAGGAACAAACTTTTGTTGCAGGTCAACATAGTTCACAAAATAGGAACAATAAACAAATGTATTTAACAAACCATATACAAAAGGCATCGACTTAGGAGGAAAAAAATAAGAAAGAAATTAATTAATGTCACCATATTAAAAACAATTGACAAAAGTATATTAATAAATTGATACTTGAATCCACTGAAGGGGAGTTTATTAACTTTTAAAAGATCAAATGATTCATCCGAAGTTTTGGTCAGCCGAACCTCTTGGATGTGAAATATTTTCTTGAGGTTCCCCTGAGATTGTAATTTAATATTTCAACACATTCACACGATCACAGTTCTCTAAGTCATGTTTATGGTTCTTCATAATGGTTAATGGCTACATGCGTGTAAAAAGATAAGATATTGCATCTTTTTTTAGTAAGCGTTTCATTTGTAGTTAAGTAGTAGTGTAATTTTTATATTTATATTTGTTTTTGTCGTAAACTTATATGTAGGGCTGCACAATTTGGCCAAAAGATTATACTGTATATTATGTGGTCACATATTGTGATTGCATTTTGAACTGCGATATAATGCTTAATTTCATATGAAAATGTCTCCCGTTGGAAACTCTTGGGTATCTTCAGCAGGACACTTTATTGAGAACTTGCTGTGTGGCGCTGCAGTCATCAAATGTCTGACTAAGGCAGGCATACATTGTATTTTATAGGCATTCATAGACGGGCCTTAGAGATGTTGACCATACGAGAACACGAGAACAAAAGACATGTAAACATTCACATGTAGTTAACGCTTAGTAGGAAGATCAGAGACTGGCAGAACCCCTTCCCTGGAAACTGTATTGAACCTACTCCGTAAATAGATGCCATCATGTTCACATTAAATGCCCAATACAAAGTAGATCACCGTCGTTTCTCATATCGTGTTACGTCAGGGTGTAGGATCAGCAGATCTTAAACGGATGCTTGAATTTGTAATCCCACAATATTTAATAGTTTATTGTGATATCAAATGCCATGGGATGTGTGCCTTAATCAGGGCTCGACACTAAGGATGGCCCGGGGCCAGCGTAAAACACTCGGGACAGTAGATGGTTTTGCCACTGCTGTGTCCTCACGAAAGTTGATCATTTGCACGTGTTTTAAAGCTTTGCCAATTTAAAGATTCAGTCGATTTAAAAGCATTAGAAGAAGTGAAAAGCACACAAAGTGCAAGACGATGCAAAGAGAACTCCACTCAGCACTCATGTTCTGTTTCTCTTTCGCGTCATCTTGCGCTTGAACGGACAAACACACCTTACCAATTTGAACATTGAAGTGATTTTAATGCATTCAAGCACAAGAAGACGTGAATAACAACTGCATTCAGTGTGTTCTGTGTGCACAGCGGAAACATATAGAGCCGTGTCTCAGGAAACACGCGAAGCCCGTATGGAGTTTCTTTCTGTGCCTTCTTGCGCTTGAACGGACAAATACATACATATTAGACCCGTAAATTGTGCTTAAAGTGACCGTGCCTAATTTACCAACTGCTGTCGGTGTCCTTAATGTTAATTAAGCTTAACAATGATTAATCTATATATTTAATTTATACAGTGAAGAATGTTCATTAGAGTTTTTAAATCTAATGAAAATGAATAAATGATTGTAAACAATAAAGTAAACAAGAAAATAAATCGCAACACAGATGTACGGTTGCTCTCGTGAAGCTACACACAGACTGTCACTGAAACAGATCCTCAGGTCCTTCAATACATTCTCTTCTAGTTCACTTCACTAAAAACCATTTAACAATGCAATGCATGCTGTCAATCGATTATAAAAAACATAATTGCACATTTTTCTGTAATTAATCATGATTCATCGCATATTAACATATATTTATATTGCCATCATTTCACATTGAATCCCCAAATTAGTGTAGAAACAACATAAAGATGGTATATTTTAAATAACTTTAACGGCACCTTTACTAAACCTGTTATTAATAAAGGCCAGTATCGTTGATGCCAATAATGCTACAGATGTCTCTAATAAATGCATTTTCCCCTCAATTTTATCCATTTAATTATAGCCATTCCATTACAGTATAATTTAAAGCTATTATTTTTAACAATTAATTGGCATTGAAAAACATAAGTTTTGATTTAAGTGAACTTAAAACAATCTTCAGATAAACTATAACTTGTATGTAGATGAATCTTTATTCAAGTTGCAGAAGTGAATCAGTGAGCAGAGCAGTGAGTGATTTCCATCAGTGACAGACTGCAGTATGTTTGACTTTAAAAGCAGCGCTGTCTCTTTAAAACCTGACACAGATGATGCAGAACTGACCCACATCCGGTTTTCTCCCAACTCTTTACGCTTATTTAGGACTTTATAACTCATTTAAGACTGCGCTCATATAAGATGAGATCATTCGCCTAAAATTGACATTTTGAGTTGTGTGTTTTTGTCTGTTGTCTGAAGTGGCTTTCTGTGCGTGCACACGTGTCAGACGCCTGTGTTCACAGAGAGCTGCTTCACAGTGTGTGCGCCGGTACCGAATTAACTTCTCTTTTGCGTCTTATCATGCTTGATAGCGTGTCCATATAGCCTACTATAACACTAGACAAAGGATACCAGGAAAAAAATGGTTGCTGCATTAAATGTGTTAATATTAATCACACAATTAACAAGTTCATTATGACAGCCCTAGTAATTACATAATGCTGCTGTCGGTGTCCTTAATGTTAATTAAGCTTAACAATGATTAATCTATATATTTAATTTATACAGTGAAGAATGTTCATTAGAGTTTTTAAATCTAATGAAAATGAATAAATGATTGTAAACAATAAAGTAAACAAGAAAATAAATCGCAACACAGATGTACGGTTGCTCTCGTGAAGCTACACACAGACTGTCACTGAAACAGATCCTCAGGTCCTTCAATACATTCTCTTCTAGTTCACTTCACTAAAAACCATTTAACAATGCAATGCATGCTGTCAATCGATTATAAAAAACATAATTGCACATTTTTCTGTAATTAATCATGATTCATCGCATATTAACATATATTTATATTGCCATCATTTCACATTGAATCCCCAAATTAGTGTAGAAACAACATAAAGATGGTATATTTTAAATAACTTTAACGGCACCTTTACTAAACCTGTTATTAATAAAGGCCAGTATCGTTGATGCCAATAATGCTACAGATGTCTCTAATAAATGCATTTTCCCCTCAATTTTATCCATTTAATTATAGCCATTCCATTACAGTATAATTTAAAGCTATTATTTTTAACAATTAATTGGCATTGAAAAACATAAGTTTTGATTTAAGTGAACTTAAAACAATCTTCAGATAAACTATAACTTGTATGTAGATGAATCTTTATTCAAGTTGCAGAAGTGAATCAGTGAGCAGAGCAGTGAGTGATTTCCATCAGTGACAGACTGCAGTATGTTTGACTTTAAAAGCAGCGCTGTCTCTTTAAAACCTGACACAGATGATGCAGAACTGACCCACATCCGGTTTTCTCCCAACTCTTTACGCTTATTTAGGACTTTATAACTCATTTAAGACTGCGCTCATATAAGATGAGATCATTCGCCTAAAATTGACATTTTGAGTTGTGTGTTTTTGTCTGTTGTCTGAAGTGGCTTTCTGTGCGTGCACACGTGTCAGACGCCTGTGTTCACAGAGAGCTGCTTCACAGTGTGTGCGCCGGTACCGAATTAACTTCTCTTTTGCGTCTTATCATGCTTGATAGCGTGTCCATATAGCCTACTATAACACTAGACAAAGGATACCAGGAAAAAAATGGTTGCTGCATTAAATGTGTTAATATTAATCACACAATTAACAAGTTCATTATGACAGCCCTAGTAATTACATAATGTGTGTGTGTGTGTGTGTGTGTCAGGTGTGTTCATGTGGCGTTCGGGCTGGTGCAGGGCATGAGCACACGCCGCGGGGAGGTGGTGTTCCTGGAGGACGTGCTGGAGGAGGCTCGCAGCAGGATGCTCAACAACATGAGGCAGTCCAGCAGTGAGAGAAAATACTTTCTGATTACCCTAACCATAACTGATGACCCTAACCATAACTGATCATCCCTAACCAGAGTATGTGAGCGGAGCGGAGCGCGGAGTGGAGCGGTGTGATTTTGACTGGAGCGAGGAGCGGATTTTTTAGAAGTCGGAGCGTCGTGGTTTTCACTCGCTCCAAGAGCGCTCCACCACCGCTCCATCACGAGTACAATTCATGCAAACAGCCCGTAATATAACTGCATATTTAGCGGGAATTCACAGGTTAAACATATTTAGCTAGCTTGATAGAGAAGGATCACTCAAATCAGAAAGAATGTGAAGGCTATGATGACGGCAATGGACATGAGCGGGAAGTTCTAGTTCTCAAGGAATTTGTTTGTTCCTTCTAGATACTGAATATTTTCAGCTGAAAGCACGATTTAAACAAGTAGCCTACTACAACACTTATTCACACGCAATCTCTCGCTCTCTCTCAAAAAAAAAACAACAAAAAAAATAATCTTACAGTGCTACTTCATCTGTATCCGATTTCGAATGAGCAGAAATCTATAAGAAATGCATCGATCCGTAGGTAAAATAACTGATGTTATTACAAGCTATTTAATGTACTGTTATTTTCATCACAAACTAAATTTGCACTGAAAAGCAGCAATTATACCAAAAAAGAAGCAATTATACCTTTTAATGGTGACAACCATGTTATTAGCTTGTCATGTGGTAGGAAAAAAAGTGCACACACTAGTGTTTCAATAAGCCACTTTGAAACTCTCCTGTCATTTTATTTTTTAATATACGTTATGAACAGAAATGTGATATTTCAAACAAACTGAAATACTTTAGCCGCGGAGCGGTGTTTCTGATATCAGTGAGCGAGGAGGGGAGCGGGAAATGGTGAACCCGGAGCTGGAGTGGAGTGATTATTAAATGCTCAGAGCGCGGAGGGTAAATTGTTGCTGCTCCACTCCGCTCACATACTCTGTCCCTAACCATAACTGATCATCCCTAACCATAACGTATTACCCTAATGGTAACTGATCATCCCTAACTGTAACGGATTACCCTAAGCATAACTGATCACCCTAACCATAACTGATCATCCCTGATCACCCTAACCGTAACTGATTACCCTAACCTAACCGTAACTGATTACCCTAACCATAACTGATTACCCTAACCGTAACTGATCATCCTTAACCGTAACTGATTACCCTAACCGTAACTGATCACCCTAACCGTAACTGATCATCCCTAACCGTAACTGATCATCCTTAACTGTAACTGATTACCCTAACCGTAACTGATCATCCTTAACTGTAACTGATTACCCTAACCGTAACTGATCATCCTTAACTGTAACTGATTACCCTAACCGTAACTGATCACCCTAAGCGTAACTGATCATCCCTAACCGTAACTGATCATCCCTGATCTCCCTAACCGTAACTGATCATCCCTGATCTCCCTAACCGTAACTGATCATCCCTGATCTCCCTAACCGTAACTGATCATCCCTGATCTCCCTAACCGTAACTGATCATCCCTGATCTCCCTAACCGTAACTGATCATCCCT